ATAGAGTAACACTATTGATACCTTAATCATTTCCTGATACTAGCTGTAGTTGATAAAATGTTACTTTGAATTAATTATTCAGTAGAAGTTTTGAAACATATAAGCTGAATGATTCTTGTCGCGTGTTGAACTGTATATTATGGGCCGGTGGCCTTATCAAATATATCAAATATATATGTTGTTGTTGTTGTCGTATTCCAAATTATAAAGTAACAAGAACAACGGCGACACATTGATATATTGAATGTTAATAAGTCATTTTGTTTTCGTTTTTCCACGAAAAGTTAAATAGAATGTATGCAAGACATTTTGCTCATCAAAACGGATAATTTATTTGTCATCCATATATCGATTTATTCTCGAACTGTAAACTGATACAATGTCTTATAAAGGCATTTAAAAGATGTATTTATGATTTCACATACTTGTCATTGTTCAGTCTATGTGTCCCATGTTATGAAAAGTGTCTGCATCTGATATCAGCGTGTCAATTAAAACGAAATTACATTTTTACCTCAGAGAGCGCTCTTTTTTACTTAAAATAGATCAAGGTTTAGAATTGCTATAGTTACATAATTTTGACATTATTGTAAAAACATTATAGAATACACATACATTGTACAAGTTTTCTACTCTGTTCTGTTACATATATAAAATGTCGTTAATAATTGAATATCAATACAACTCAATTATGATACAAATATTGTGTGCTTAATTTAAGTAAATGTTATGTTGAACAAAAGTATGCAAGTGAACATGTTTTACCGGAGATAAAGGTTTTATGTTTGTTACTCAAATTGTCATGTGATACACTCGTAGTTATTTGCTAAATTTTGAAATTATCTTTGTTTAAATTATCGTGCATGAAAAAAGCAATGTTTTCAAAATTTAAACTTATTGCAAAACTGTTGCTTTTATATTTTAATCTGATTTTTTTTATATAAATCTAGAGGATATTTGGATGGAGACGTACCGCACGCAACATCTTACGGGGTTTATATATCTCAGTTAATTAGATTTGCTAGAGCTTGTAGCAACGTAAAGGATTTTAACGAGCGAAATATTTTCATTACCGGTAAGCTTCTAAAACAGGGATACCGCTATTATAAATTACGTAAATATTTTACAAAATTTTACAATCGTAACTTTGATTTAATTTCAAAATTCAATAGTGATCTAAAAACACTTCTGCGACAAGGGATTAGCCAGCCTGATTTTTACGGTGATGTTGTTTACAAACTTCGTAAGATCTTGGGTCATTGTAATTTTTCTGTTGTGTTTACTAAATTATAAAACGTTTTATTAAAAGGGGTTATGACCCTACTTTTTTAAGACATACCGCATGCTTGGTGTTCAACCCATTTACAGTTGGACACTACGCTTTCCTCTTTTGATTACATCTGACGGGCCAAGTGGGAGACTATATGATGGACAGTTCTTAAAGCCCTTTGGGACTGAATTGCCTTAATGTTTGTCTTCTGTCTTGCTTCGTCGGGCCCTTGTAGGTGATTTTCTTGTTGCTCTGTCTTCCTTTAGGACATCGAGTACTTTTGTTATGGTCATTGGGTTTACTTTTATATGTTTCTACATGATCATTTTGGTGTTTTACTTATTTAACCTTTTGTAACCATAACAACTGTTAGAATTTCACTTGGCGGGGATTCATTTTATTTACACTGTCTCGTTTATAGGAACATGGTGGGGCTAAGAGCGAGGTTTGGTGCACCATTAACCGGTTTAAACTCCCCAGTAGTCATTATTATGCTGCTGACCGTTCCAAGGCGGCGCCCCTCTGTGTTCCTTAGATGTATGTCTATGTTGTTTTATACTGTTTTGGTGACACTTTTGCTCGTGTCTCTTGTTGTTTCTCGTCTACGGTAAGTATCTTCCCTTTGTCCCTAGTTTTTATTTATTTTATCCCCCCCCCCTTCCCCGTGTCTCATGTCCCCTTCCCCCGTGCCTTTTGACATTATGAGCCTTATATTAAATCATTCATTTGTTTTGTTTTAGTTCCTTATAAGTAACTAATTATGTATTCTGATGTAGTGGTTCGCCTGCCCGTACTCTGCCTTGTGCCCTGTCCTGTTTTTCTTTGAGGTCCTCCTGGGCTCCTTGCCGCTGGCGCTTGTTGCTGGGTCGGCTGGGGGCTGCGTTCATTGAATGCCGCCTTTCCTTGTCGATCTTGTTTATCATATTTTAATACTAAATTTATTGAACGAGTTTGATAATCCTATTATGCGAGCCTCTGACGAGTTGAATTGATATAGTATTGAATCTTCACGAGTTTAATATTTTTTATCACAATTATCCAAAATAAGAATGATTTAAAATAAAATAATGTGTCATTTTTATTGACGCACCTATAACGCTTAAATTAGTGCGCATTAACGCTTTGTTTGCATATAAAGCAACTGACGTCACCTCAAAGTGTTATTATATCGTTTTTATTGCATGGCTACATCGTGGTTTAAGTGATTAGTTGCTTTATTTCATGTTAAAATATTTTTAACACTTTACTCAAGACTCCTTTAAAAGTATGAAAAAAAAATCTTACTTATTACACCAATATGTTTTTCTTATCATCAAATTCAGATCTTCACATGTTGTTAATTCAATATTTAAATAATTACTTATGAATATTTGCATTTATGAATATTTTACAACCTTTTGCTATTGTAATGAGTTTAATACAACTTTATTTACTTGGTAAATTTTGTCTTGATAAAACCGTGTCTGTGACTGTTAACATAGAAAATTATAATTGCTCTCAATCGATCTCCACTTTCCAGAATTTATATACTCGTGACAACAGATGTAGAAAGTTTGGGATCATTGATTCCAATACTTTTAATGTGAGGATCAGATACAGCTTTAGCCGGTGCTAGAGGGTGAGAGACATTGCATTATTCATTATATCTCATGCAATGAATCTGCAATCTCCATTGTTTGCTATTTTTTCACTGATCTCACAACAGCAGGTACGTCGGTACTTCGCTTAGATCTGTGTTGTAATATATCGGGATCATTTAATCCATAATTTTTAGGATTGAGGATAATCATTGAAAACCACTTTAATCGGCGTTGCCATGGATGAGATAGATGTTTCACTTTTCATTATCTTTGATGATCAGATTGAATAAATTGATACGGCTCTCCTCTCAAGAACAGACAGTCAAACCGAGACATCTCTTTATATTTGTTTCATTGCTATCTTTTTTTAAGAATAAGTATATGAAACATCGTTCCAAAGAAATCAAGAATTTAATCACACATATCCGTATATTTTTTTATATGTAAAATTTTAATTTCATCAAGAATTAAGCACAAATAAACCGAATTTTAATATAAAATGTATGTAGGGCAATATATATATATATATATTTATAGTTTAAAAAGATACTAATGGTTTTGCTCATAAGCAGGAAAAATAAAATAAAAGATTAACCACAAATAAGCCATCAGTCCTAAGCAATCTTTACACTGTTGCCGTCAAATTGTGATTTTATAAACAATTTCTTTTCATTTAAGATTCTGTCATTTGATTTACACCAGACTAATTTGATTAAAAACGTACGTAATGAGGCAAACATTAGTTAAGTTTCTTTTCCTTTCATGCAATGCTTCATAAGGATATCATTCTCAAAATAACTTGTGTTTTTTTGGGTTTTTTTTGTTTTGTTTTTTTTGGGGGGGGTAATTTTTTAAGGGTATTACAACATTATTCATTATCATAGATTGACCAAATCAACGTTATTTCTTAACATTATAGTTCTTAAGATGATACGCTAACCAAACGCATAAACGGTATAAAATAAATCAGAAGGTGAATAGTAATACTGTTCATTATCTATTTTAGTAACTAAAATGTCATGATGATACCGTTCTATGTTAAGAAAAATAGCTAACATTGTTTATTTCTTGATATCTCCCACATTTAAAAGAGTTCATCTTCTCATAATGATAATGTTGATTATCTGCTATGTTTAATGATTCCTTTAATTTTCGGTAAGTATGTCCAAAGATTTCATTAGAAAGAAGCCCTTCGGCTTAAATAGATGAATCAAAAGAAATTTACTCTACTGTGATACAAAATCAAGCACACGCACGTACGCACGCACGCACACACACACACACACATACTAGTTAAGTGTACATGCTTAAGCTTGTATAAAAAAAACTAAGATGGAATGACATAGTTATTGAAGTAGGATTAATCCTGTTGATATGTTAAATATACACAATATTTTGCCATATATACATGTATGTTTAACAGGCCCAGTACAAAATGCTGTAAGCTTAAATTATCTGAGCCATTAGACACATGTTTTTTTGCGAACAATCGTTTATATTCGATCATATAAACTATCAGAAATCTTTATAACGAATTTTTATTATACAGCTTAAGAATTTTATTTAAATGAAAACGAAAAGATAGTTCATTGATTGAGAGTAGCCGTGTACATATATTATCTCATAAACGTCCAAGGAAAAGCAACTTTACAAACGTGCAAGATTTAAAGTTTTTTGGCTGTATCATTTGTGACCGTAATAGGTGAAATAGCTGCTATTTACAAAAAAGCAATAGGGTTTACATCAACTATAATCAATATCGCATGAAAAATGATAAAATGATAGACTTTGAATTTGAAGATATAAAATGATTTGTAAAAAAGTAAAGTTTTCTCTTATATCAGTCCGATATCTTGAATAGTTAGTTGGCTTTATCTAACTTTATTTATTTGGCGTTTATGCATATCCTTTTTAACTTCGAAACGTTATTGGTCTGGTTTAATAAGAAAGCCTGAGAAGTAAGAATATGTTCCACCATTGAAGTAACTAGGATTACCATCAACATATACGACATCATTCATGTTCAGGTGAAATGTACCAGTAGCACTCATCGAGTATTGTCCCTCAATCTGACTGAAGAGGGTCAATTCATGACTATTACGAACAGTAAGGTAAGCGTGAACATTTCCATAGATTCCATTCTTTCTTGAGAGTGTGACGGAAAATGCATACAAGCCAGGAATCCTACACGTGAATAATCCGGTAGCACCGCTGAAATTATTTCCATAATTAACGGGGACCCTATAAAATGTCAAGGCATCTCCAGATACTCCATCAGGGTAAGTAGCTGTGAAGGCAACACTGTATGCTTAAATCATAAGAAAGAAATGCACTTTTACTGTCCAGAGTGTGAAGAAGAATCTAATCTCATTTTAGACAATCAGAAATTGTAAATGTATTGAGGAAACCTTCATGATATAAACGGAATGAAGTCCTTATACTAGTTTTTAGTTTTTAAAGACATTTTGTTAAAAGAAATGCATATATGATCTTATATCTTTGGCATAGACATTGATTTTGCAATATGTTGCGCTTACCTGAGCACAAATTCTTTTGACAGTTGGAAGTGTCATTTCCAGCATCTACAAAAAATAATTACCTATTTATTTCAAGTTGCCTTTTTAATAAATGTGGCGAAATTTTATTTGTTGTTGTTTTGTTTGTTTGTTTGTTTGTTTGTTTTATTTTGTTTTGTTTTATTTTGTTTGTTGGTTTGTTTAAAATTTTGGGATTAAACAGACTTATAAGGATATCGGCAATGAATATGAGTAACAATGAAACAAAATGTAACCAGTTCATTAATGCAAATGTAATTATCTGGAAAAACTAATAATTTGAATATTAAAACAAGCGACGAAATTAAAAAAAGAGTTTTAAAAATTACCAGTGATGTAAATAACACATACGAGGACATGGACTGTTCTGACACGATCTCGTTTGTTCAGGACTGCCATCACAAAATTGCCCAAGTACTGAAGGTCTTGGGTTCGAACATCTTCTTTCACGTTTACTAACACCCCAACCACATGTCGCACTACACGCATTCCAATCTCCCCAGCTAGTCCATCCGCCATCTTGAAAATTTACAAATGTATTTCATATGAGAACATTTCGTGAAGTTAGGGTGTAATGTACATTTACTTCTTATGGAATAATAGAGGTATCTACACTTTTCCACTTTGTATTTGAAAGCAAAATCTTGAAAATATGATTAACATATCTAATGCCTAGTAATAATTTAGTAAATAGTCACCTGCACATGCTTTTCCCGTGCAAATTTTGAAATCTATTGATTCCCCTGTACAAAGGACATCTTTGTCATCAGAAAGTTGATTTAAGCATGTCCTATATCACAGGAAACTGAACACCTTTCCCATGACAACCATGCACCCCAGTTTCCAAGTCCTGCAATATCAGACGATCATATGATCATATAACATTAGGTATTTGTCAATCTTACCTATTTTACTTATTGTTAGTAACTTATTCCTTGATAGATACCTTTCTATAAAAATGTTAAAGATCTTTTTTTCTGTGACCAAAGTATCAAGTTCATTTGAATTATAATAAAGACAAAGCTTACGAATATTTTTCTATGGAATCTGTTTACTGTCATCGTCTTTTCGGTCATTAAATACGTATATATTAAGCATTTACATTCCGCCTTTTGTGGTGTTATTAAACGCAAAAAGTCGAAAACTGTACACGACAATTTCGAATTTTCGCCTACACGTTTTCGAGTTTTCAGTGAAAGGTATCAATTTAGTGTTAGTTTAGTTTATTAACCCGACACTAATGCTGTCAAATGTATTACCCTTAGTTTCGACTTTTAGCGATAGAACGATATTTTGAATTTATCTGTACTGTACACCGCATATTAACATTTACCCTCCCAGTTTTACCAGAAGTGGCCTAATTCTTATCCCGCATCATTTAAAGATGAGCAGTAAAGATCTAATGACCATTTGACTAAATGTCCGAGATAAATTTTGCAGCGCCTAAGGATCAAAGCAGAGGCTATGAACTAAAAATGCAATGCTCCCTATATTGAATAGCAAAGTGGACAGACTAAACACGTTCACCAATTTGTATCAATAATGTTACAGAAATCTCCCTTGTGGCTAAGGGGTTGCCTTTTAAGGTTGAGGCATCAGAATTGCAGCTACCGTTCATCCCTTTGTGATTGTAAGATGCGACTAAATGAGTTAGAGTCTATGCAACTCTAAGCTCCAGCAGCTGAGGTGGTTTAACCCCTGTAGTTGCTTTACGTTTGCTACACCCGAGTTTTGCCAAAATCGTCTTTCCTGTCCGGAGCCTTATGACCTAAATTGTGTTGGTGCGCCGTAAACCTAGAGTAAACAAAACGAATTGAAAAGCAACATACCATAATTAGACTTTATTTTGCAAGTCTTGTAATCAACAGATTCGCCTCTACAAGCATCGCCATCTATTGAAGTTGAGCATGTTCTTCTTCGACTTTGAACTCCTACGTCACTTGTACTACATGGTGATGAACATCCTTCCCATGGCAACCATTCGTTCCATTTTTCACCGTCTTGAATTAAAGTTATGACTAGAATTTGTTTAAGGTTATTGATAAATTGATTGGTTGTGATATATATATATATATATATATATATATATATATATATATATATATATATATATATATATATATATATATATATATATATATATATATATATATATATATATATATATATATATATATATATATATAATGAAGTCGGTATGTAATTGCTGTATTTCAAACATTCTATTTAAATCTAACTGTACAGTTTGGTAAGGAATATTTTCAATCTCCATTTCGTTTACTTAAATAAGTTTGTAACTGCATATTTTATGCCATAGTTCTTATCAATATTTCACAGGCGAGTGTACCACTTTCAATTCATATCAATGAATTGAAAACAAATACAAGTTCGCCAGTTATATATTTTCTCTAAGTTCACATAAATGAAAAGTGAAAATACGAACAATAAAAACATACATTTTATTTCATCAATTTTTCAAAATATTTCATTTCATACGAATTATATAATAAATCGTATTACTTACCACTTTCATTTATATCTGCAAAGATTGGACTTACAGATAAAGAACAAATAATTGTATTCACTAAGAGAATCATAATTCACTGCTAATGTACGTGCATGCGATTTCTTAATGAAAATGTAGGTTTAAACTGAATCGTTTTCTGACCTAAAACGTTCCCACAATTCACTATTTAACTAAAGTTATGGTATGAAACTCTTCCTTAATGGCCTTATTTAGCCTTGATTTCCTAAAGATGCGGTAAATAAACACGAACGTTTGCGATTTTATCTAGGATGAAGTTTTGAAGAAGAAAATATGTTTTGATCACCTTTTTAGGATTTGAGGTGTAAAGATCAATGTTTAAGTTAAGGATGTTTTTTCATTAACTGTTGCAAGGCCTGTGAATAGAGAATAGATAGCTGAAATATATGAATTTATAACATACTCGTTTTGCTACTCCGTAAAAACTTAAAGGGAGACACAGGCAAAATTTTCATTTCTTAGTTTTGATTTTTTCAGTCATCATTCTGTAAATGCCCTAAAAATAAATATATTAGACAGTCAAAGGAACAAAACTTTTCTCCGTATAAAGAATAAAATGGTAGTTTCCTAACTTGACCCGCGTGGGTCAGGTTAGAGCACTAGGATTTCACAATATTTGCCAAAGTGAACTCTGGAAACGTTAAAGAACATATCAAATGAATGACTTAGACTTGTTTCAAGCATACAATATCCATAATATATGTTATTGTAACTTCAAGGGTTTGTTCAAGTCATGTGACTTGTTTTAAAACTATTTGGCGATTCTATTCGGGTCTAGATTTTGTTAAACATATATAGATATAATTACGCTTCAAACCCAAAATATTTAGAATTTAAACAAAAATTCATGCTGAAACTTCAAGAAATGTCATTTTAGCGTGATTTAAGTACATTAGATCATTTTAATATTTTAGTCATTATTTTGCCTCAATATCCCTTTAAGTGCACGGTCGTGAATATATTTTGACTTGACGTCATTAACGTTATACAAATATACTATAGTAGCGTTAAATGTTAACGTTACACACAAATCAAGTGAAGTAATATTTTTTCAACAAGACGGTATGCTGCGTATACATGTATATTTTCCACCAGCCCTGAAGAACTTCTATAACCAGCTTATAAACTAAAAATATGTAAAGTACATATAAAAAAACATACTATAAAAACATAAAATTATGGCAAATATCATTATTATGGTTATAAAAAAAGATACATATAAGGAAAAACAAAACCTTGTTACAAGTACTCGTTAAAGAATAGAAAAATATTTTACAGATTAGTCACACAAAATATAACTTGGAAAGAACATGGCCGATGTATAACGAAGATCAAACATATGGGAATAATACACAGATGTATGAATATAGCAAAACCTAATAAACTAAAACCCAATAAGAGTAGTAAAGTATAACAATCGGGTCCCTACCTGGCACATACGACAGTTGAAATTCGGTTTCTTATCATCTGTCGGTCTGACACTTGAACTGACTGCTCGATGAGAAATGTCTGAATGTGTCTGGTTACGAGTTCCACAGCCTGACTGCCAAGCGTCTGAAAAGAGGCAGGCAGTCAAAAAAGTTGCAATTCATTCGGTTGAAGCCCAATCTCTACAGACCAAAAATTGCACATGGGATAATTTCATTGTAGATTTGCAATCGTATGTCATAGATGTTCTCATTAAAGTGTGTTTTCTTTTTCCAAGTTGTGTAGTTTGGGATCAGAATTATCAGACTTATTGCTTGTAGGACATTGACAGAAGGAACTTGAATTTTACTGTGGATTGTGGAGTGCTACCTTATATAATGTAATAATGTCGAACAAGTGAATGAACAGTGGATATGTTTTAAGATGTTGTTCATTGACCCGTGTTAGTCACGCCTTATTTAAACCTATACTATTTCTCACAAAGAAATTTTGTGATGAACCATACGATTACAATCCATTTAAATAGTAGACCACCAGTTTCATTGTGGTCATCAAGTTGTGATTATAGGAATTATTCTCCAGACGTTTTAAGATTGACTTGATCATTTGATTAACCCAGACATATTACATTTAATAGGATGTGATTTTATTTGGTCAATTGGCTTCCGAATTACATGTACTTCTTAGCACTTTGAAAGGTACTATTAACTATTCTCTAATATATTGACACGGTGAATTTTTTTGTTCAAATTCAAGACCATTATGTAAGGTTTATGATTATATTATCTTAACAATATTTTTATGGTTTTATATCATAAATATGATGCTCAAAATAAGATGTATCAATTTTGTGAGTTCCAAAAAGCATTATTCATAAAGATATTACCGCATTTAACATTTCATGTAAATAAAAAGAGGTAATAAAAGATTTATTTTCTATAAAGACTAAGTCAATTTGTTCAATAAAGAAATGAATGCATTTTATTTTAAAATGATTACATATAATATGTACAAATATTTGAGTACATATTTTACATATTCTTCGATGTTTGAAAGATTGTTTTATAACATAATTATATACATATATAATCATTTACTAAAGAATGGGTATACAACCTCAATTACAACTACAGGATCTTTAACTTAAAATGTTGGAATAATATTACGCATTACCGGTTAATTTTTTGGGGCGTCGTGCAGACTGGAAAGAGTGGTTGGGTGTTGACTTCGAACCACTTGGCCTCCACCCGCGGTGGGTTCGATTTAGTAGGGAAGTTATCCCGCTATCTTAGGAACGTTCGGTGGTTCTTCCCTCAGTACCCTCTCGTCCTAAATAATGCAGTATTGACTGAGTGACTTTACCTACAGATCTGATACTTTAGTCAACAAAACAAAAAAAAGTATTTGTAGTTACAAATATAAAATGAAATATTTAATTTTTACAAAATTCACATACAGGTTTTGTTAGGGGTATTACTAAAAAAATTTTTATTTAAAAAAAATGTAGACAGAAAATATCTTTAAAATAGCATGTATAAGGAATGGGCCGGGGAAAATAAAAAATACGGGGTACCGTGGTTAAATGGGGGCCAAAAAGGGGTTTTTGTGGAAAATAAAACCCTTTTGTGGGGACTAGTAACCCTTTTGTGGAGACCCGTATACCCTTTTTATATAGGTTGGACCATAACTTTTTACATTAACGGGACTTCTTTTTTCAGAAAAAATTTATTTTAAATCAAAATGATTTAAAATTAAAAAAGCTTTCGATCCAATTTTGGGACAAATGGCAAACACAAAAAAAATAATTTTTCCAAAAATATTATGAGCATATTTTATTATTATTATCTTTTGCATATTTTTTCATCTTTTGTGCCCCAAGTTTATCAATGTAAGAATAGCATTACATTTTATGTTTTTATCCTTTTAGACCGCCGTGATGTTTATTTAAAGTACCATTGCGTGTCACGTCCCACTCTTGTTACCTCAAGCTGTGATAACATAGAATGACTCCGCGGGCATTCCAACAAATGATCACTTCTATAATGGAACTGTCAGTATGTAACATAAAATAATTCAGGAAACAATTTGATGTAGGTTGTTTGCTGACTATAGAAGAAACGATGCTATCTCGATTGATGTCACTCTTCACTACGTGATTCCAGGAAATGTTACAGGTGTAGAGTATTCACGTTGTACTCTGCTATAAGGGTTTAGTTGGAATCGCCCTACAAAGTAGTACTACTCGTTTAGGAAATAATTATTGTTGCGTGTAATTATGGTGTCCTTTATGGATCACTTAAAACGTGATTTATTGGCATGTGATATTTTGACTTGACATCTTGTATTGCTCTTTTCGGTAAACATTGTACTATATATATAAGTAATGAGAAATAAACCTCCTAATGAGGGAACTATAACCATATGTAACATTTTAAAGTTCGCATTTTTAACATAAATCATTATACGTTCGCAAGTCTGTTTAGACCATCCCGATGTTAAACCTTAAGTTCATTAATGTTGTAAAGTATCCGACAAAGAACAGGTTCAGCAAAGACCGTGGGCATTAATTATGATGTTGATTTATTTAAAGTCTTTGACCTTCATTAAAAAGAAGAAGAAATACTTTATTTCGGTAACCTATACATTTACAGTATCTTGTTATATACAATAATTACAAATAAAATAAGTCTGTGGCAAAAACATGACAAAAGTAAAGGAAACAAAAATGATAAGGACATAAAAAGTTTAACTTATGGCGTTCTAGAAAAGAATTTCAAGCTGCAAATAATGAAAAAAGAAAGAACATCACATTATTATCATTCACATAAATAGTTCCAGAAATAACAACAAAAAGATGTGTAAACACAACAGCTTTCTAAAGTATAATATTACATGTCATCTTTAACAATAAGGATGGATAGAAAGTTGTATCAATTTACATTCAAAAATAAAATGCGTTATGTATTAACAACTAGTAGTAACAGTTCTTGTATTTTTTATTGGCTACATCTATATATTTTCCTACATTTACAAGTATAGCTTTATTTTCTGATTGTGATAAATCAACTAATTTATAAATATATAAGGTCTTATATAGAAATACCGCTTGATAAATCTTCTTCAAATATCTTGTTAACATGGACAAACTAAAATAAAATGATAAAGTTATCAAACTAACATAAAATTGTGAAATGGCCTTTTAATAATAAATGACGTAAAAACATATATAACAATATGAAAGTTATAATATAACATAAAATTGTATACAAAGCAGCAAACATTTCTGAAAAATGTATATAAAAATATATACACACGTATCCCAAAAATTATCAAAGGTTGGGTTCTAAGAATATTACCAAAAAACATTTGTATATAAAATTATATACAAACACCAAACGTTATTGAATGTTTATCATTTTGTTAAAAATTGAATACTGAATGTGGGTGGGATGGTGGGTTATTGAAAATTGTTATGAATTATTTCTTCTTCTAAAATGGCGGACTTAAACAGCATAAAATTATCACATTGTATTTTTACTCATAACGATAAACTTAGTGTCCTTACTAGTACGGCTTTTTCGAACCCAATATATTTCGACCTATGACTAAAGACCTAATGAAACCCACCATCAAACTTGTAAGTGACCATAAAAAAACATTTATTTTGCAATAAATTAAGTTTTATGTCAAACATTTCAATTTGTTGTATCTTTGCCTTAAGAAGTTTTCTCTGTTTGATAATTTTCAAGAATAA